ATTGAAATGAAAAAGAAATAAATAAATTTAAAAAGTCACTTAAATAATTATTAGGAAAAAAATGTAATTTTTGGTAGAAATATTCACTACTAAGGACTTGAATTATTTTCAAAGTTATCATGCTCCACAAATCTAAGGACTTTTCTTTTAAATTATGAATGGTAAGTTTTCAATTAAAATAAATCTTCTACATAGCTACAGCATAAAAGAGATCATTCTAACATTTCTGTAAAACCAAGATAGTATACCTTAAATCGCTGAACTCTTGTTCCCATTCCCAGTTCTGATGCTCTAACTGTGATATTATTTCTTGTGCATTATTGTGTAGTCCACTAAGCTTAGTTTTCAATTTTTCATTTTTTCCCCTAAGTATATCACAGTGACTTTTTTGACGTTGTATTGTTTTTTTATAGGAAGAGATTGTATCTTGTAGTTTTACTAGATTGGTAGAATCTATGTTGGATAAATGAGGGTAGAGAACATATATGAGAAGTTTTGTTTACAAAGAACCATGCATTTTCATATTCATTTATTCATATGTTGAATATATATATATGTAAAATGTTTCTAATGTGAAGCATATTATTTTGAACTCTACAGATACGATAGACCGGACCACTGCTCTTGCTTAGCTCAAAGTCTACGAGAGAAGAATGATAAGAAATATAAATTCTGATGGTTGTAGTTGTTGTCTGAGTGAGCCTATGGGCAAATGAGCAAGATCTTGCTGAATCCTGTGCCCACTCACTATCTGTGCTGTGGTGGAGCCCACTGTTGCAGTCATTGTTGCAGTCCACCTCCTGGAGTATCTTCCTCTTTTTTGCTGATCCTCTGTTTTACTTACCTCTATGGCTTTCTTTGAATAACTTGGCCAAAGTATCTAAAACAAAGTCTTGACATCCCTGCTTCTAAGGGACATTCTGATAACAAAACCGTAATTGTTCTTTTAGGCAATCTATGGTACATTCACTACACATGCAAAATATTGCTGAAGATCATTTAAAACAGCTAGAACAGTACATTAACAGAGAATTGCCAGAACTTCAAGCAGGGTTTAGAAGAGGCTGTGGTACCAGGCATATCATTGCTGATGTTAGATGGATCCTGGCTGAAAGCAAATAATATCAGAAGCATGCTTATTTATATTTTATTGACTGTAAATTGGTATTTGATGATACAAATCATAACAAACTCTGGCTAACATTGAGAAGAATATGAATCCCAGAACACTTAATAATGGTCATAAAAAACTTATATCTAGACCAAGAAGCTATTGTCTGAACAGAGTAAGGGAACACAGCATGATTTAATATCAGGAAAGTATATGTCAGGGTTGTAGTCTTTCTCCACCTACGCAATCTGTATGCTGAGCAAATAATCTGAGAAGCTGGTCTCTATGAAAAAGAATATGGCATTAGGATCAGAGAAAGACTCATCAACAACCTGCATTATTAGATGAGACCCTTTGCTTGCTTAAAGTGAGAAAGACCTGAAACATTCACTGCCAAACATCAAAGACTACAGCCTTCAATATACATTGTATCTCAATATCAAGAAGACAAAAATCCTCACCACTGACCAATAAGCCACATCATGATAGATGGAGAAAGGACTGTACTGAAATTGGTAATGATATTGTCTTTCTTGGATCCACAATCAGCACCCTTGGTACCAGCAGTCAGGAGAGATCAGAAGACAGTGTGTTGAGCAAGTCCATGGTCAGGGACCTCTTCATGGTCTTTTTATTCACTTACTCTGCATCTGAGAGCTGATAATGATAAAGTATGACAGAAGAATTTATGCCTTTGAGCTATGGTGTGGTCATAGAGTACTGAATATCCCATGGACTACCAATAGGACAGACAGATACGTATTGAGAAAAGTGTGGTCAGAATGCTCCTTACAGGGAAGGATGGCAAAGCTTCATCTCACATAACTTGGAAATGTTGCTAGAAAGGCTGTTCCCTGGAAAGGGACATCATGTTTAGAATTGTGGAGAGTTAGCCAAAGAGGGGAAGACCTTCAAAGAAATGGGCTGACACAGTGACTACAGCAACGGCCTCAGGTGTACAGAGATGATCAAAAGATGGCACAGGATACACAGAGTTCAGATCTGTTATTAATAGGGTGTACACAGATTAATAGAGTTGTACTTGATTTGATGGTACCTAACAATAACAAAGAACAACAACAGTAAAACCTTTAAAGGCTGGCATGCACTAAAAGATTACTAAGCATGCAAGGAAGTAGAAAAAGAAGTAAAAAAAGAATATGTGAAATCAATTGAACTAGCTTTGAGCTATTCTAAATGCTAGGATTAGTAGAAAAGATATTAAAAGTTAGAACTTTATTCTAATCTGTAACACAACAAACTGCGGTTGATTCTGAGAAGAATGGGAATCTGAGACACTTGATTATGCTTGTGTGAAGCCTATACTCAGACCAGGAGGCAGTTGTCAGAAAAGAGAAAAGAAATTGGGAAGGGTGTAGTCCAAGGATTTGTCCTATCTTCATACCTTTCTAATCTATATGCAGAACAGTTTATCTAGGAGGCTGGGCTCTATGAGGAGAAATGTGGCATCAGGATTGGAGGAAGACTTACCAGCAATCTGCATTATGCAGATGACAAGACACTACTTGCTAAAACTGAGGAGGACCTGAAGTTCTTGTTGCAGAAGATAAAGGACTGAAACTTTCATTATGGATTGAAGATCAACATAAGAAACAAAGATTCTCTCCACTGAGCCGATTGGCAGCAGCATTATAGATGGTGAAGAGATTGAGATTGTTAATAGCTTTAGTTTGCTTGGCTCCGCAATCAACACTCTTGGTACTAGCAGCCAGGAAATAAAAAGACGAATTCCATCGGGAATGTCTGCTGTCAGAGATCTCTCCAAAGTACTGAAAAGCAACGATGTCAGTCTAGAGACTATTATGTGCCTGATTCAGGCTATGGTCTTTGCAATTACTTGCTATGCATCGGAAAGCTAGACAATGGCTAGGGATGAATGAAAGAGAATTGATGCCTTTGAGCTGTGGAGCTGGAGAAGAGTACTGAATATATCATGGACTGCTAGGAGTACAAACAAGTTTGCCCTAGAGAAGGTGAGATCAGGCTGCACATTGGAGACAAGGATTCTGAAGCTTTATCTGACATACTTTGAATATGTTGCAAGGTGGGACCAGTCCTTAGAGAGGGATGTCATACTTGGGAAGGTGGCTTTGACTGCATGGCTCTGGATTGACAGTGCAACTCCTTACCTAGTAGGGCACCAAGCTCTCTTTATGCACTTACTTTATGTCCATTCCATGTTGTTCTTTTTTTTTTTACATAGAATTCTTAAAAGTATAATTGGGCAACATACCATTTTCTAAAGCTGCTCCAGGTGACAGAGTCAAGTTCTCAGAGTTATCCAGAAAATGAAATTGCTCTTGGGTCTATATAAAATAAATAATAGTGTGTTTTCAAAATATTTACAGCATAATGTAACTTTATAGAGGTGGTAAACATCTACCTTTCTGTATGAGAAAAATCAAGCTTTTTTACTTAAAATAATTCTTTGTTAGAAAGTGACTTTTACTGATAACTAATGTTTGTATACTTTTTCTCCAATTTAATCTTTTAGAAGAAGATATGTTTTTATATTACTTTTTAGAAATATTTTTTATTATAGAACAAGACTTTGAAAAATAATTTTGTACAGTACCTTGCTCTTTTCATTCAATTCTTTCTTCACACACCTATAAAACAATTCCACTTTAATATGCAAAAAATATCTATAACAATTATTTTAATATGAAATGCCTGCATTTGTTGTTTATGAATAAAGAAGTTTAAAAGTAATTGAATACACAATAATTTTCTACAAGGGGAATGAAACTGAACAAAAAGAACAGCTCTAAAGTACAAAAGAATTTAATAGCCTCAGAAGAAAATGCTAAATTAATGTAACTTGCATTACTTGCTATTAAAAAAACCTGATTGTATTCCTGTTGTTATTTTCAACAAAAATAAACTTTTACTTTCATTAAATTCTACTTAGGAATGATATCTGTTATTTGGAGAGAGATTTTTGAGGAGTTAACATTCATTAGTCTAGGCATTTTACGTGTCTGAACTTATTTTAATCCTCATAACAATTTTATTAAGTAGATAATCCAAAAGTTCTCCTACAAAAGAAAAAAAAGTAAGACAAAGAGAGGCTAAAAGGTGACCAGATGAGATCATACTACTATCTTGTCAGAAGAAAAACCAGAATTAAAACTAAAGCATTCTGGTTCCCAAGCATATGCTTCACAAACAGAGTTAACATTGTTAAGGACTTTTAAATAATAGGCTAGCAAATGAATCTATATCATCACTCTTTTTATGGTTAAACTTACAGATAATAATATCTGAGTCTGGTAACTATTTTTCAGTGTAAATATTTCATATACTAGGGAAATAGAAAAATTAATTTTAATAATTCTTTCAACTTTGAAAATAAACTTTCTTAAAAAGAAACTCTTTAACAGGCATTTTTTTAAATTCAATTGTTCATGGAGTCAACAAATAACTGAGAACTCAATATCTGTTAATAGCAGTTGTTAGGGGCAATTGTCTTGGCTAAGACTCATAGTGACCCTATGAACAATCTGAACTGTATCCTAACCTGTACCATCCCCATGATCCTTGAGTTCATTGTTAGAGTCATTACGTCAAGTAATTTTTTTTGGGGGGGGGTGGTGTCTTCCTTTCTTTCTCTGATCCTTCATCTATCTAAGTCTGATGCAGGTTTACCAAGACTAGTTCCTCTTGAGAACAAACCCACAGTATGTCAAACCAAGTTTTACCATCATTGCCTCTAAAAGCATTCTAATTGTGTTGCTCCCAAGACACATTTGTTAGCTCTTTTGGCATTCCTTAATATATTCAGTACTTTTCACCAACACCACAAATCAAAGCCATCAATTCTTCTGTTAACTTTATTCATTGTCCAAATTTTAGCTACATAGCAAGTAAGTGAAAAGGTCATGGCTTGAATCAGGTGCACTTTAGTTTTTAAATTGACATCTCTGTTCTTTAGCACTTTGGAGAGGTTCTTGACAACAGTTTTTCCTAACACAACAAGTCTTTCTAAAAAATATTTTTAATTTTAATTCAGTCACTCTAAAATACAGTATTTTAGAACAGTGCTTAAAATTGTATAATGCCATTATTTATAATGTTCTATTGAGACCTTACTCACCCAAACACCAATCTCTGCTTCCTCTCCCTCTCTTTTCTTCCTTGTCAAACTTTCATACTTTTTTCTAACTATGGGTAAAACTTCTCTTTTTCTCTTCCTCCCCTCTTCTTTCCCTCTCCCCCTCTCACCAGTCCCATTCAGTTATACATGTCCTGTTCCAGACTGTTAATTGCAATCTATGCACATATTGTCAAACTGTCCTTTCATTTCAGGTTGATCTTCCCCAGCTAGAGCAGTAGGCACAAGAAAGAAAGAAGAGGCATCTAGATTAGCAAGGAGAAGGTAAAACTATCTCCATATGCGGATGATATGATACTGTACATAGAAAACCTTAAAGATTCCTCAAAAAACTGTTAGACCTCACAGACCAGATCAGCAAAGTGGCAGGATAAAAGATCAACATGGAAAAACCAATCATATTTCTCTACTGTAACATAAAAGTCACTGAAAAGGAAAGAAGAAATACCAATAACAAAATCCAAGCACAAGATTAAATACGTGGGAACACATCTAACTGGAGACACAAAAGACGATTGTTGTTGTTGTTATTGTTAAGCACTGTCAAGTCGCAGATGACTCACAGTGACCCTATGAATGAAAGACTTGAACACCTGTATAACTTTCATTGTTTCTCCAAGTTTGTAGAGTTTCTGGAGACAAGTTATTTCAGAAGTGGATGCCACTCATGCTTCCAAGCTTGTTTTAATTGGGGAGCTCCACCAAACACTGTCCACCCTGCGTAACCATTATTGCATTTGACACATCAGTGTCACAGTGTTTAGCATCACAGCAACTAGAGTTACTGTTGTACAGCAAATGGACAGACCGATGCTATACCACTTAGAAGAATGTTTGACCAAAAAGAATTAAGACCAGGCCTATATAAATAAAATGTAACACATCTTTTTGATTTCTTGGATGCTGTTATGATGGGTGTTGATTGTGGATCTAAGTAAGAGGAAATCCTTCACAATTCCAATCTTTACTCCATTTGTCATGATGTCCTTATTGTTCTAATGGTGAGGATTTTTGTTTTCCAGATATTGAGATATAATCTACATTGAAGGCTGTAGAGTTTGATCTTCTGCAGTAATAGAGCTTCATGACTTCTTCACTTTCTCCAAGCAAGGTTGTATTATCTGCAAAACGTAGATTATTGATGACTTTCTCCAAACTTGATGCCACATTTACTTCATATAGTTCAGTTTCTAGAATGATTTGCTCAGTTTACAAACTGAATATGTATGGAGAAAGGATACGATCCTGATGTACACCTTTCCTGATTTTAAATCATGCAGTTTTGTCCAACAGATTCAACACTTAGATGCAGGGAAACGTAGATTTTAAACTCTAATTATTACCAAAAGTAACAATTAGTTGATTCTTCTATTGTACATATAATAAAATTCTCCTCTTATACTCACAATATAAACTATTATTAAGTTGACAACCCTGCTTGCTGAAATGAAGGAGGACCTGAAGAGCTTGCTGCAGAGAGTCAAGGACCATAGCCTTCAATCTGGATTGAGGCTCAATGTTAAGAAGACAAAGATTCTCACCACTGGACCAATTGGCAGCATTAGGATGTATGGTGAAGAGATTGAGATTGTTCACAGCTTTAGTTTGCTTGGCTCCACAGTCAACATTCTTGGCAACAACAGCCAAGAAATGAAAAGACGTATTGTGATGGGGAAGTCTGCTGTTAGGGACCTCTCCAAAGTACTGAAGAGCCATGGTGTCCCTCTGGAGACTAAGGTGTGTCTGATACAGGCCATGGTCTTTGCAATCACTTGTTATGCATCAGAGAGTTGGACAATGACTAAGGAAGATAGAAGGAGAATTGATGCCTTTGAACTGTGGTGCTGGAGAAGAGTATTGAGAATACCATGGACTGCTAGGAAAACAGGTTTGTCGTGGAAAGGGTTAAACCGGGCAGCTCCTTGGAGGCAAGTATTCTGAGGCTTCGTCTAGCATACTTTGGGCATGTTGGTCCTTGGAGAGGGACATCATGCTTGGTAGGGTGGAGGTACAGCGCAGGAGGGGAAGGCCTTCTATGAGGTAGATTGATTCAGTGACTGTGGTAATCGGGATGGGTATATCAGAGACAGTACGATTGGCACAGGACAGAATAGAGTTTAGGGCTGTTGTGCATAGGATCGCTCTGAGTCACAAGTGACTGAATGGCACATAACAACAATAACAACAACAATAACAATCTGAAATGTGAGAATATATTACAAAATCATAGCCATGTATGTTGGAAGTGTCAAAGTGCAATATTTGAAAAATCATTTTGTTGTGTCAGCTATTTCCTTCTGATACAGTGACTCTGTGTACTCCCTTCCATCTTCTTTTGATACTTCCTGGATTATTTAACATTCTACCCAAACTATCCTTAAGTATTGACACCTGTGGCTTGAATTGGTTTTTCAACTCCTTTAGTTTAAGAAACACTGAGCGCATTTGGCCCTTTTGGTTTTCTGACTCCAGCTCTCTGCACATTTCATTATAATATCTTGCTTTGTCGTCCTGGCTGCCTTTTGAAATTTTCTGTTCAGCTCTCTGATTTCTTGCTTTGTTCCTTTAGCTTTGGCTTCTTGACGCTCTAATGCAATACTCAGAGTGTCATCTGACATCCATCTTGGTCTTTTCTTCTTCTTCAGCCTTTGCCTTTGTAATCTTTTGCATTCTTAATGGACGATTTTCTTGATATCCTCCCAGAGCTCATTTGGTCTATGCTCATTGGTGCTCAAGGCCTCAAACCTGTTCCTGAGATGGTTTTGAAATTTGAGTGGGACAGACTTAAGGTCAGATTTTGGTTCCCATGGACTTGATTTAATTTTCCTCAACTTCAGCTTGAACTTGCATATGAGTAGTTGGTGGTCTGTCCCATAATCAGCACCAGGCCTGGTTTTCTCTGCCAATATTGAGCTTCTCCAATGAGTCTTTCCATAAATGTAATCGATTTGATTCCTATGCATACAACCAGGTGAGATCCATGTGTATAGCCTGCCTTTATGTTTCTCAAAAAAGGTATTTACAATGAATAAATCATTGAATGTGCAGAACTCCATCATTCTATCTCCAGCCTCATTTCTCTCACTGAGCCTGTGTTTTCCAGCTACTGATCCTTCTTCCCTGTTCCCAATTTTTGCATTCCAATTGTCCATTATTATCAATGCATCTTGATTGCATGTTTGATCAATTTCTGACTGCAAAAGTTTGCAAAAGTTGGTAGAAATCTTCCATTTCCTCCTCTTTGGCTCTAGTTGTTGGTGCATATATTTGAATTATAGTGATATTCACTGGACTTCCTTGTATGCTTATGGATATTATCCTGTTGCACACTACGTTGTATTTTAGGATAGATATATAAATGGCTTTTTAAATTTGGAAACCAACTCCATTTTTCTCACCTTTTCATCCCTGTCATAGTAAATCGTATGATCATCTGATTCAAAATGTCCCATGCCAAGCCATCTCATTTCGCCAGGAAAAGAAATTGTACATAACAGTTGTACTAAACAATTTTAAATTGAAGTCATACTGGCTGCATCATAAGAAATTGACAGCAGCATGATATGTTCAGAATCACAGAAATCCTGTTGGCTTGAGACTTAGGCCATCACATCAGGGGCTGGTCAATTCAACGGGTGTTGAATGGTGTAGGCAGATGTAGGAAGGGATGGTAGTAGAGTAGGGAAAGGGTGGATCAAAACAAAAAGCAACCAAACAAAAAGCAACCAAACATGTAGTGGGGTGGGCAGCAATACTGGTCATTTTTCTAACTGGTAAATGCCTTTCATCTGCTCTTTTCTGTAGAATGCTTGTCTGTCAGATACTATTATATGTATTTTAAAATTAAGACAGACTAGGAAGAAGGATTGGCCATCCACTTCTGAAATGACAAGCCTTCGAAAACCCTATGTACAATAGAGCACACTTAGACTATCCCTTGGACTAGCAGACATGGCAATTGAGACTGAGATCTTAGAAATGGAAACACAGAGAAGGAAGAACAACTGTAAGGAAACACTAGTGATTGGAATGCGGAATGTGAAAAGCATGAAATGTAGGAAAATTGGACATTGTTAAGAAAGAAATGGAACACATAAATATTGACATACTAGGTATTTGTGAAATGAGATGCCTTGGCATGGGACATTTTTTTTTGTTGTTGTTGTTTTTCCTGGTGTCAGGAGTGGGATATGAACCGGCATGGGACATTTTGAATGTGTTCCATATATAGATTAAAAAGGTATAGAGACAGGATATAGATCCCTGGAATACACCTTTCCTGATTCTGAGCCATGCAGTAAATATGAGACAACACAATCCAATCATCAAACTTCCTAATATTTAGAAATGCAAACAAAATTTAATTTAAATGTTTACCTTAACTGGACCACTTTCCTTGACCTACAAACATATTCTAAGACCTCTCAGCTTAAAAGAAAAAAAGAAAGGTTATTTAAACCCTATCTTTTTTAGTTACCAACCAATTATCTTATTGCCTTTCCTAGCAGGTAGGTCTACAACTATCCGCTCAGTTTGGCTTCCATCCCAGCGTTTACCGACTCTACTCCTTGTCAAAGCCATTCATCCGCATTTCAAGGACTTCTTTAAATGACATCTGAAATTGTTTAGTATTTCCTAACCCTGGCCTGGACACTACTCCATACTGTCCTGCTTTATTTCTAAAATAGAATGACTATGGATATTTACTCACAAGGAAATAAAGAATTTCCATAATTTACCTTGCTTTAGCCCAGTCTATTTCATTCAAATTGCGGTCATCATTCACTTGTAGAAGAACATCAATTTCTGAGATAGCCTGCTCCAACACCTGTGTAGCTGTAGATTCTCTTGAGGTCCATTTTTTACTTTTATGTTTCTTTTTCTCCTTTGTATTCAACATAGGAGTATTTCTTTTAAAAAGACATTTTAAAAATCCAGTGTTTCTAAATGTTCTAGTGACAAGGGATAAAAAAAAAAAATCACAACTAGGTTTATAAGATTCCAATCTTTATACATCTTAATAAACTTATTCATATAAAAGCTAGTTACAAAGTACCAACTATATAAAGGAAAGATACATCCCTGCTCCAAAAGGCAGGGAAATGCAATAATGACACAGTATGGTTAAGTAAGAGCTGGTATATGAGAACTGATATTTGATCACCAGGAAACCTTTACAAAAGAGGTAAAACATAACAGAGGAGCTGACCAAGCAAAATAAAAGGACAAAATCATTCTACTGAGAGATTAGAATGTAATCACGAAACTTACAGACATGTTATCTACAGTGTTTATTTATTATTTTGTTTTGTTTTTAAAGAGAAATAAAAAATACAAATCACATAGAAGCAAATAATAAGAGATGAATCAGGGAAGAAATTTGGAAAAATTTGCACTGGCACTCCCAGAGTCTAGAGCTCATTTCCTGAAAACTATGAGCAGAGACAGTTTTTGCTGTTAGGTACCATCAAGTCAAAACTGACTCATAGCTGACCCTACAACGTGTTTTCAGAGGCTGTAAAACACATAGGAGGAGATTACTCATCTCTCTTCCATGGAGCAGCTGGTGGATATAAACCATTCATCATTGAGCCGGCAGTCCAACTCTTACTACTAAGCCACAAGATTGGCCTAATAATTAGATTTGTGCTATGTTTCTTGTTGTTTTGTAAATGAAACAATGCTTAACCTACAGGGAGTTTTAAAAATAGTCACATTTAACAGAAAATAAGAATATTAAGAAGACAGTCAGGGAAATATATTGAAGAGAATAAACTTTGTTGAGATTTGATATAAACAGAATGAAAATGAAACCAATAAGGAAATTGATTAGTTGTATTGTGGACTAAACAGTTAACGATGGTGGTGTTCTTGCATGACACAAAAGAAATGGAAAAACATATTTTCAAGAAAGACCTGGAAAATGTACAGACGAAGAAGATGCCAAGAAAAAGACAGAAAGCAAAAATGGCAGCAAGGTTGGGGAGAGAAACTGCCAATGTCAGTTTCCATTAACTCACCTAGGAAAAGGCTATGTGTAGAGAAGATGAAAGGGGGATTTAAGTACCATGTTAGGGGTGTCCATTAGCTAATCAAGGGAGATGGCAAGTAAGTAGTCAGATATACAGGTCTAGAGTTCCAGAGAGATATCTGTGCTAAAGATACAAACTTGGGAATCATTGGCATATGCTGTTGTTATTTACTGTTGATTTGTAATGGACTCATAGCTGATCCTCTAGCAGGCTGGGAGAGGCTGTAAATCACACAGGAAGAAATGGCCATCTTTCTTCCTCTGAGCAGCTGGTGGATTCAAGAAGTGTGTCTTTGAATCCCCAGCTTCTCACCCACTAGGCCACTTAGGTGCAAGGTTGCCAAAAAAGATGATTAGCCTTACGGACTGCATGGTATTTAAATTTCTCTGGTTTTCATTGCTATCCAGTTGGAAGCAGCACTCCTCCATTGGGTTTCTGGAGCTGTAAACTGCAAGGGAGAGCATGTCCTAGCTTTCTGCCAAAGCTGCTGTGGATTTAATGTGCAGAGTGGCATCACTTTTGAGATAGAGGTTCAACTCCTATGGACATGTCACCAGAGCTTCCTGGACTGTGGTAAAATTGAGAGAGTTTGGGCTGGTTGGTTTTTTGTTGTTGTTGTTGTTTTTTCATATCTATGTCTGGCTACCTAGCTCACGGTCCCGGAATTGGAAACAGCAGCTTGCCATACTTGTCTATTTAGGATTATTTCACTATCCCAAAACAGTCATCTGTGACCTTGCTTACCAACAGTGACTTTTTAGACTACAGTCTCTGAGTTTAGCAGACTCCAAAGCCAGTAGCCATAAGCCCTGTTTGCTGATGCCTTGGACTCTTCAACTCCAAACACTTTCCTTTTGTGGTCTCCCTTACAAACCTGGGGCTAACTCCTACAAGAACATGAGCCATTACCTTGAAATAAGCCAAGCTCTCTCTTCATATATCTGCAAGTGCATACACTTGATACTAAATGGTTTAAAAATGCCAGGCCAACATATTAAAGAATATTGGAGAGTTAAAATGCATTTGGGAAATTTTATGGACATAAAACACAATACATAAATCATTTAACCACATTTTTTAAAATTTTATCTTTTTTTTAAATGTGTGTGTGTGTGTGTGTACCGTCAGATCACATCTGATTGGTACAGGAGGAGATTGTCCCTCCTTTCCCAGCAGAGCATCTGGTGGATTCGAACCATGGTCCTCTGGAATTGCAGTGCAGCTTCTTGCCACTAGGCCACCAGAGCTCCCCTCATTTAACCACATTTTAATTATGAAACAATTATTGTTGCTAGATGCTCTCAAGTCAACTACAAGTCATAGTGACCCTGTGGACAATGCATCAAAGCCTTGCCCTGTCCTGCTCCATCCTCACAATCTTCTATATGCTTGAGCCCATGGTTATAGTCACTATGCTGATCATTTCCTTGAAGATCTTCCTTTCTTTCAACAAGGTTGAAATTGTCAATCTTACTTGTATCCACAATCACCACCTTTTAGGAATCTCTTCAAACTTCTGGAGCAATGGCATCAGTTTGAAGCCTAAGGCGTGCCTGATTCAGGCCATGGTCTTTTCAATCACTTGTTATCTGAAAGCTGTACCATAAGTAAGGATGACAGAAGAATCGGTGCCTTTGAATTGTGGTGTAGGGAAAGAGTATTGAATATTCAAGGATTACCAAAGAACAACCAGATATGTCTTGGAAAAGGTGCAGACGGAATGCTCCTTAAAGGGAAGGATGGTGAAACTTCATATTGCATATTGTTGTCATGTACTGTCAAATCAACTGTGGCTCATAGTGACCCTATGTACAATAACTCTGAACTTGGCTCTATCCTGAGCCAGTCTCACTGTCCCTGATACACTTAGCCTATTATTTCAGTTACTCTGTCAGTTCATCTCATCCGGTGTCATCTTCTTTTGTGCTATCCCAGCACCCTTCCAAGCATAATGTTCTTCTCCAAGGACTGGTCCCTCCTGGCAACATGTCCAAAGAATCTTTACCTCCAAGGGGCAGCCTGGCTTCACGCTCTCCAGGACAGATCTGTTTGTTCTTTTGGCAGTCCATGGTCTGTTCAACTCTCTTCTCCAGCACCACAACTCAAAGGCACCAATTCTTATGTCATCCTTAGTTATAGTCTAGCTCTCTAATGTGTAGCAAGTAATTAGGAAGACCATGGCCTGTATCAGGCACTCCTTAGTCTCTGGACTGACACTGTGCTCTTTAGCATTCTGTAGAGTTACCTGACAGTAGATTTTTCTAATGGAATTTATCTTTTGATTGCCTGACTGCTAGTGCCAAAGGTGTTGAATGTGGAACTGAGTAAACTCAAATTGTTAACAATCTCAATCTCTTCTCCATCTATCATGGTGCTGCCCCACTTTAGGCATATTATCAGGAGAGGATAGATATCTTGCTGGGAAAGGCAGTTGTTATTGCTGTTAGATGCCATTAAGTTGAGTATAACTCATGGACAATAGATCTGACCTCTTTCCTATCTTGTGCCATTTTTATCATTCTCTACACACTTGAGCCCACTGCTCGCACAAGATAGGAAAGAGGTCAGATGAAAGAGGTGAGATGAAGCTTTACATCTTTGCCTCCAAAAGTCCAAGGCTGCACGTTTCATAGTCCACTTCCAGATGCATAGCAAACAATTGACAATATATTGGCTTAGGTCAGACATTTCCTAGTCTTTAAACTGATATCCTTGTTCTTTAGCACTTTTCCAAAAGACATCCTATGTATTGGGAAAAAAATACTGAGCAATGATATATCTGACAAGGGACTCATCTCTAAAATGTATAGAAAACTTCAACACCTCACCAAGAAAAAGACAAAAAATCCAATAGCAAAATGGGTAGTGGACAAGAACAGGCATTTCCCACAAAAAGCAAGAAAACAAACCAGCCATTCAGATTCCCCATAACAACATAGTACTCAAGATCGTTAACTATCAGAAAAAGCAAATCAAAACAATGAGATCTCAGCTCAGCAATAGTAACTGTTCAATTAGATAGCAAACATCAAATATAGCAAGGGTTGGACAGATTGGAACATCTAATGGTACATCCATTACAGAAAGCAGTTTGGTACATTCTTAGAAAGTTGAGAATATAATTTGATCCAGCAATCCCATTGGTAGGTATATATATAGCGCCAAAAGACAAGAGTTGTGACTTAAAGCTATGTGCCCATATATGTTTATTGTAGCATTACTTACAATAGAAAATAGATGGTAACAATTCAACTGTCCTTTAACAGATGAATGGGTAGGCAAACTATGATATTTTCACATAGTGGAGTCTTATCCAACAAAAAAATTACACAAACCAAACTATAAGAATTCAAGAAACACTGTATAACCTAGACAAATCTAGTGCAAATTATAATGAGTGATATAAGTTAGTCATAAAATGACTAATATAGTAAAAGCCCACTATTTTTTTAAACAGGAAGACTCGTTTGTTTTATAACAATTATGTACTTCCCAGGATGCATCCTATCTCCATACCTTTTCAACCTATATGCAGAACAGATTATCCAGGAGGCTGGGCTCTATGAAGAGAAATATGGGGTCAAGATTGGTGGATGATTTATCAACAATCTGCATTATGCAGATGACACAACCCTGCTTGCTGAAACTGAAGAGGACCTTAAGCACCTGCTGCAGAGGGTCAAGGACTGCAGCCTCCAATACGGATTGAGGCTCAATGTCAAGAAGACAAAGATTCTCACCACTGGACCAAGTGGCAGCATCAGGATGGATGGTGAAGAGATTGAGATTGTACACAGCTTTAGTTTGCTTGGCTCCACAGTCAACACTCTTAGCACCAGTAGCCAGGAAATTAAAAGGTGTATTGCCATGGGAAAGTCTGCTGTTAGGGACCTCTCCAAAGTACTAAAGAGCAATGGTGTCTCTCTGTAGACTAAGGTGCATTTGATACAGGCCATGGTCTTCACAATCACTTGTTATGCATCAGAGAGTTGGACAATGACCAAGGAGGATAGAAGGAGAATTGATGCCTTTGAGCTGTGGTGCTGGAGAAGAGTATTGAGAATACCATGGACTGCTAGGAAAACAGGTTTGTCGTGGAAAGGGTTAAACCGGGTGGCTCCTTGGAGGCAAGGATTCTGAGGCTCCGTCTAACATACTTTGGACATGTTGTGAGGAGAGACCGGTCCTTGGAGAAGGACATCATGCTTGGGAGGGTGGAGGGACAGCGCAGGAGGGGAAGGCCCTCTATGAGGTGGATTGATTCAGTGACTGGGATAATCAGGATGGGAGTGTCAGAGACAGTGCAATTGGCACAGGACAGAGCAGAGTTTAGGGCTGTTGTACATAGGGTCGCTATGAGTTGCAAGCTACTCGACGGCACATAACTACAACAACTTGTACTTGTCATTCTCTTAAAACAAATAACGTTTAAATATTTTCAACAACAAGGTCGATGAATAGGAATCCCAAATTATAATACAGATGTTTTTGAGGATAATACTCAAGAAAAATACTTTAGTTTTAATGAAAATAAAATTATTAATATTAATTTAAGATACAGCTACTCTTCATTGAGTTGTAACTTATTTTTTAATCAGGCCAATTTTCTAAACGTAATTGGGTGAAAGTTTTAAAAAAAATTTTATTTTACTAGTTTTAATCAACATTTACAGAGATTTTGGATTTCCATTCACTCATTGTTGCACTTTTTTCTCTACCTCCTCCCCCACTCCAGTTCGTTCCTCTTCCCTCCAACCATGCTCTCCCCATTCCCCCCTCCCCACTCCGAATGTACTCCACTATGCAACCTAAAGCCCACTATTTTTAAAAAACTAAGAAAAGGATTACACAAAGATAGAATCATTCTTGGATGGCTATCATGGACAAAAAGAGGAATAAAAATAAATAAATAGACAAAATGGGTGAAGAGAAAGTCAATATACAATATACAATAAGAGGTTGTTCAGACAATATAATTACTTAATTGCAGTTTATGTTATAAAACATGTATGAATGGTTGAATGAAAAACAATATGATTTGCAATTTTTCACTCAAATCATTGTAAAACAAAAAGACCAAAACCAATCACAACACAGTGGATGAGAACATTGCTTTCTTTACATTTCTCAATGGGAGGTTATTATTATTTCACTTATATATTTTAAGAAGACATGACTGCAAAAAAGTATTTCATTGGTATGTTAATTTTTGCATTTTTCTGAATACTTGACAAGGTTAAACATCTTTAATAAACCTATAAAATTAGTTTATAAAACATTACCCCCAAAATACTATTGATTTTATTAAAAATTAGAATATATAATGTTTAATATTTCTGTGGGATTACCTATCAGATCCTTCATTCTTCTTAGCTGGACATTGTTGTTTATCATTATTTATACTCTTTCCTTGTTGATTTAATCCATAATTATCGTTACTCGCAGCAGGATCATTAATGTGTTCTGATACTTTCAATTCACTACTTCTGATTTTATTTTCTTTTCCAACCTTTAATGAAAGTTTGATAGGATCATTACTAAGATTAACTTTCACGTGTTTGTTAATTTTATCATTTGATTCTTAGTGCAAGTGCCATGATTTTAATCAATAAAAATCATTATAATCAATAATTATTCTCTCTCTTATTGCTGCCAGTTAGAATTGACTCTTAGCTGATGCTCCAGCTGGTTTTCTAAAGCTGTAACTGGCACAGGGGTAGATTTACCAAACATTATTCAAGGAAAAGCTGGTAGATTTGAATCCCCCCCTTCACTTGGCAGTGCAAATCTTGTTATCTTGAACAAACGTAATACCTTTTTTAGTCTAGGGATATGTTGAGGAGTAGGACACCCAGGCAGGAGCAGAGTTTCTGGCTTTCAGGGATCCTAGCTAGTCTGTTTGGCTAGAGATGCTATCATTGCTACTCTAGGATATGGGTGCAGGCAAGTAGAGATAGCTAGTGCGAAAATAAAGTCACTGCTGACTTGAAATGTCCAAGGACAGTGCACTCTGCAAAGTGTATATTGCTCAAAATATGACTATGAAGTATTTGGACAAAGATGCCCAGTAAGTAGGAAGGAGTCTAGTTAGAGCGGTGGCCCTACTAATCCAGGGGCAGATCTGAGACCAGGTACAGCACAGTCCACAGGCTCCTGGAGGAAACCAGACCACAAGCCCTTCAGCTCTCCAGATACGAGATGGTCATGTGTGACCTCAGGCAGATCTGGACCTGGTTGGGGAATGCTGCTCATCACCTGGAGCGGGGGAGGGACTTTGAATTGATCTTGGGGAGGGGTATAAGGCACAAGAGGGAGATCACACATGTTCTTGTGTTCAGGAAGCTCATATTGTGGATATTATCACTACTGTTGTTCTGGGTTTCCACACCACATAGACAATTGTTCAAAATGGCTGAGTGCTTACCTTAAGGTTGAATGTTTGTTAACTCCTTTTTAAAAGTTTCCTTCTATTTCTTCCTCAGTCAGTGTTTGAAGTGTGTCCTTGCCTTTCTTTTTTAAACTCAGGGTTCCACAATTATCATCAGTATCTGTTGTCTTAGTTTTCTGCTGTCTCTAGTACATAGAGTCTGAACCACCATCTTACCTGGAAGTCAAGTTTCTCTTTTTGAAGTTACGTTTTCTCTTTTTTTCTCCAAGGCAGAGATTCAACTTGTGGCAAGAGTTTGTAGTTTTTAAACCTTTCTTAATTGTGCTGTTTTGCCAGTATTTGGTGCAGCAGAATTTCTCTTTTTAACATTTATTTTCCATGCGTCTTTAGCTATTACTACTTTCATTATTACCTCTTGGCTATCTGGACAAGGTTCTCATTGACTTTGTTCTTGATCTTCTTGCACATTGTGTTATTTCTGGGTTCTAGACATTCCCCCTTTCTGTACTTTCTACAGAGACTCAACTCATTTTTGTTAAAACCATGTTAAGTGTCTGGTTTATTATAATTTTCCAAGTCTAATTTCTTATCATTTAAATTAAGCTTTGAAGATAACTGACAAAAATAGTCTTGGGACTCAGAGTACAAATAGGATGGAGAGATATATTCAGGATCTGTTTTTGCAGGAGATCCTTAGAATATTACATAGAGTCAGGATAAAGTTGTAAGCTAACATTTTAAACTACTTAAAATTTTTAATAACTATAAAAAGTTTTATAATAAAAATGGTTTAAAAAGGAAATGTAAAAATTAACAATTAAATGAAAAATTTAATAAAATTTAATAATTATAAATAAAAAATAAATTTTATGCTCTCAAGACTCAAAAGGTTATTCTAAATTTTGGCCTAGCAGATAGAAAGTTATGCGACCAAATCAAAGGTTGTTGTTGTTTGCTGTTGTATGTGCCATTGAGTCGTTTGCGACCCATAGCGACCCTATGTACAACAGCCCTAAACCCTGCTCTATCCTGTGCCAATCGCATTGCCTCTGACACACCCATCCCGATTACCCCAGTCACTGAATCAATCCACCTCATAGAGGGTCTTCCCCTCCTGCGCTGTCCCTCTACTCTACCAAGCATGATGTCCCTCTCTAAAGACCTGTCTCTCCTAACAACATGTCCAAAGTATGTCAGACAAAGCCCCAGAATCCTTGCCTCCAAGGAGTAGCCTGGTTTAACCTTCTCCAGGATGAATCTGTTTTCTTGGCAGTCCATGGTCCATTCAATACTCTTCTCAAGCACCACAGCTCAAAGGCATCAATTCTCCTTCTATCCTCCCTAGCCATTGTCCAACTCTCTGATGCATAACAAGTGATTGCAAAAACCATGGCCTGTATCAGGCGCCCTTAGTCTCCAGAGAGACACCGTAGCTCTTGAGTACTTTAGAGAGGTCCCTAACAGCAGACTTTCTCATCGCAATACGTTTTTTGATTTCCTGGCTGCTGGTGCCAAGAGTGTTGACCGTGGAGCCCAGCAAACTGAAGCTGTGAACAATCTCAATCTCTTCGCCATCCCGCCTTTGGTTTCGCATTCGAATGCGAAACCAAAGGTGGGTGATTTTAATCTGCAGCCCTCAGGCCTGGTTTTAATTGTTTTTGGTCAAACATTCTTCTATGTGGTATAGCACTGGTCTGTCCATTTGCTGTACAGAGGTAAATTGTGGTTGCTGTGATGCTAAACACTGTGACACTGATGTGTCAAATGTGATAATGGCTACCCATGGTGGACAATGTTTGGTCGAACTCCCAGACTGTAACAAGCTTGGAAGCAGGAGTGGAGTGGCATCCACTTCTGAAATACCTTGCCTCTGGAAACTCTATGAACTTAGAGAAACAATGATAGTCAAACAAGTGTTCAGGTCATTTGTTCATAGGTTTGCTATGAGTCATCTATGAGTTGATGGCACTTAAAACAACAATCATAGGTATTGAAATATAGAAAACAATATTAAATCAGAAAAGTTAATAATTTCATTTACATACCTCTGACTGGTCATTCTTGTTTTTATCAAGTCCTTTTGTCTCTTCATCTGCTGCTATGTTTAAGTCTATTTCTGCTGATAAATCTACATATTTTTAAAAAATATATACTTAGACCAGTGAGGTAAAAGTTGAATTTTTATAAAAACAGATAACAAACAACATTTTAACAAGTGAGAATTTAAATGATGCTTAAACTTTAGCGGTTTATTGGTTTTTAAAATTTATTATTATTATTAATGTTAATGTTAAAATTTACAGAGACTTTGGATTTCCACTCATTCATTGTTGCATCTTTCTCCCTGCCCACCCCTCCCTTCCAGTTCATTTTTCTCTTTGAAAAGTAAAAGAAAAATTCTTTCATTGTTATATAATCTCTTCCCATAAGTCCACTCCACTATTCAGCCTTCGTTCTGGACTCATGTCATGACAATAATACCTAATCATTTATACATTTTAAGCAGTTTTCTTAGTGGTTTATTTCTTGAAAACATAATTTTGATTATACAAAACCTTAGCAAACCATGAGGGAAGACATTAGATCTCATCAGATTCAAGGAATACAAACATCTCCAGCCCAGCGTAAGTGTACAAAACAATAAAATATGAATATATCTCTATCTCTATCTATAAAATCTCACAATCGTGGTTTTTTTAAAAAACACAAAACTTAAACTGTAACGTTACTCAGATTTTAAAATGACTAATTTTTACACTTCTTTTTTTTGTACAAGGGAAACTGTAGTGAGTTGAGTTGCAAACCAAATACCTCTCTGGTAGTTCAAATCCAGCAAGGACTCAGAGGGACAAAGATGGCAATCTCCTACTGTGGGATGTATAACCTATGACAATGACTTTTGATCTTGATTAGTATGTTTACCTGTCTTTTTACATATTCCATTTACAATTATGTGTCTGACAATATTATCTTCTAATAGTCAGCTCTGAGATTCATTATTAACGCCTTCTTCAGGTATGTGAAGTATCAACTCATGAAAGCAGCAACATGCAAATTACGCCCTAATACAATAAATGGCAGAGAAGTGCTGTATCACTAATAGCAGAAGCATCCAGATAATATGCAGACCCTGGTCTGCATTTGCTCACTGGCTGGCTCTGAGATTCTGGATATGGGTGGTGCACACAGGTAGGCAGGCAGCAGGTAGGCCTCCATTTAGATATTTAGTTACATCTCAGTATTAAGAAAACAAAAATCCTCACCAGTGGGCCAATAGAAAATATCATGATTGAAGGAGAAGAGATAGAATCGTCAATGATTTCCTCTTGCTTGGATTCACTATCAATACTGTTGGCTATCAGGAAATTAGGAGATGTACAGACATCTTTAAAGTGCTGAAGAGTAATGATGTCACTTTGAAGACTAAAATGCACCTGATCTAAACCATAATATTTTCACTTATTTTTAATGCAGCTAAAAATTAGACAGGGAATAAAGGATGGCAGACCAAGAATTGATGCCTTTGAGTTGTGTTGGAGAAAGTGCTGAGAATCCCTTTGACTGGGAAAAGGACAAAAATATATGCCCTGGAAAAGGTGTAGCCATGGTACTCCTTAGAGGCAAGGATGGTGAAATTTATCTCACATACTTTGGGCAACCATCTAACATTAGCTAGTACCATGGCCTCTTCTAAACCTAGCCTGCACTCTTGGCAGTTCTCCGTTGTGCTGTTCCAGTCATTTTTGGCTAATTTTCAGCAGAATTTTGCTGAAATCTTGCAGGCTGCTCCTTGGAGGCAAGGGTTCTGAAGCTTCATCTGACATACTTCAGACATGTTACAAGGCAGTCCTTGCAGAGGGACATCATGCATGGGAGGGTGGAGGGACAACACAGGAGAGAAGGACCCTCGATGAGATGGAGGGTTTTAGTGACTGGTGACTGGGGTAGAAGGGGTAGGTGTGTCGGAGATAGATTGGCACAGGATAGAGCAGAGGTTAGGGCTGTTGTACACAGGGTCCCTATGAGTCATAGATGACTCAACGGCATATAACAGCAACAACAACAACTTTGGGCATGTTGTTATGAGGGGCTAGTCCTTGGAAAATTTTATCATGCTTGGACAGATGGAGGGTCAGCAAAGGAGAGGAAGCTCCTCAACCAGGTGGACTGACAGTAATTGTAATGGTGGGTTTGAGTATGCCAGAGATGGTCAGGTTGGCACAGGATAGGGCAGGGCTCAGATTCATAGTCCACAGAGTCACTATGAGTTGTAGTCAATTCAAAGGCACTTGACAACAGCAGGAACCTTCAACTCAATAATAACTCTTTGCTGTCTTGTCAGCTGATCCTTTTGTGGGTTTTCAGAAGCTGTAAATTGCAGGAGAGGAGTTTGTCTATCTTTCTCCAGAGGAGCAACTGGTGGATTTGAACCTCCTGCTGTTAGGGTGGCAGTGAAACTCCTTACTTTGTTGGACACTGGCATGCCCTTCCCTTGTTGTATACCGTCGAGTTGGAACCTACTCACAGCTGACCCTCTAGCAAGTTTTCAGATACTCTTAACTCCATGGGAGGAGATTGCCCATCCTTCTCCTCTGGATTGCAGGACAGCTTCTTGACACTAGGCCAGTGCTACATTAATAATTCACAGAGTCTTCTATTTGTACACTTTACCTCCTGAACTAGAATTATTTCTTTTTAAAAAATTAATTTACTTAATTTTTAGAACATAATTTTTTTTATTGACATACTTGCCAATCTTTCTCTAGATCATAGGGCTAAGTCTTTCAAATGATGAAGTAAAAAATTTATTTACTTTCCATAGCAATCATTTATTGAGGTCTTGCTAAGTCCCAGGCACCAGGCTTTAAGCAAAAATAGTAAACTATTTAGTGGAGAAAATTTTTGAGCTGGGTAGTGAGATTGTTTTTGTTGTTATATGCCATTAAGTCACCTGTGACTCATAGCAATCCTAAGTACAACAGCCTTAAACCCTGCTCTATCCTGTGCTGATCTCACTATCTCTGACACAGCTACACGTACTACCCCAGTCACTGAAACCATCCATCTCATTGAGGGGGGTCTTCCTCTCCTGTGCTGTTCCTCCACCCTCCCAAGCATGATGTCCCTCTCCACAGAATGGTTCCTCCTTGCAAAATGCCTAAAGTATGTCAGATGAAGCTTCAGAATTCTTGTCTCCAAGCAGCAGCCTGGTATAACCCACTCCAGGCTGAGCATGTTTGTTCTCCTAGCAGTCTATTGTATATTCAATACTCTTCTCCCAAACCACAGCTCAAATCCATCAATTCTCCTATCTCCCCTAGTCACTGTACAACTTTCTGATGCAAAGCAAGTGACTGCAAAGACCATGGCCTGTATCAGGCACACCTTAGTCTCCAGACTGACATTGTTGCTCTTCAGTACTTTGGAAAGGTCTTTGACAGCAGACTTTCCCAATGTAATTAGTCTTTTCATTTCCTAGCTGCTGGTTCCAAGAGTGTTAATTGTGAAGCCAAGCAAAGGAAAGCTGTCAACAATCTCAATCTCTTCACCATTTATCATGATACTCCCAATTGGCCCAGTGAGAATCTTCGTTTTCTTGATATTGAGCTTCAATTCCTATTGAAGGCTGTAGTCCTGGACCTTCTGCATGAAGTGTTTCAGGACCTCCTCAGTTTCAGGTACCAGATTTAAAAAGGTTTCTCAATCCATTCCATGTCACTGGGTGTTGGGAAATTATGGTACATTCACATTATGGAATACTATTCAGCATGCATGAGGAGTGATTTTGTAAATTACTACCTAACGTGGGAAGGACTGGAAAGCAATGTGCTAAGTGAACTAACTCAGTCTCATAAAGATAAATACTGTATAGGGCTATTATTGTAGAGCATATACAAGGATCCAAGAGGAGAGGGAAGTTTAACTATAGAGTTGCACAATTTGATGGGTGGAGGGAGGAAATGGTAAAGGAAAGAGGAAATGAAAGGTCCATTGTGAAAAACAATGTATATGAATTTAATGAACTTTGTATGTAAAACAGTATAAAATTACTACCTAACTTGAGAGGACTGGATAGTATTATGCTGAGTGAACTAACTCAGTCCCACAAGGACAAATACTGTATACAATCATTACTGTAGAATGAGTATGAGGACCCAAGGTGGGGGGAAGGGTGGAAGCAGATGTGTGAGGAGGTACAGGGGGATTAATCATGGGGTCACATAAATTGATGGGGGGAGGGAAATAGGAATGATTTGGTGTGAAAAACAATGAATTTGAATTTTTATATAAATTAGTATAAAAAATGTAAAAAAAATAAGGCTAGAGAGCAGGAAAGGGTGATAAAGCATGTAAAGCAACAGCAACACAGGGTAAAACCCTATTAAATAGGGTATGTATATTATATACTGCAAGGTAGAGATTGTAAGGGTAGCCCAGGATAGGGCAAGGTTTCTATTTGTTGTCCATAGTGTTTCTATGAGTCCAAGTTGACTTGATGACACCTAATAACAACAGCATGTGTCAAAAATATAGATTGGTGAGAAAGGTTATCACCAGCAGTTTAGTAATGTTGGGAGCAGAGAGAGGTGGAGAATCCCTGAAGGTTTAATGGCTGTACTGAGGAGTCTGCTGTACAAGGAAATGTTTCAGGAACCCTGAAACCCTTGTAGGCGAAGGACCCTCAGATAGTCGGGGCAGCACACAGCTCTGACTTTGTTCCAGGAATTGCTCCATGGCAGCACTCCCTGATGAGCTGTTTACCCCTTAAAGCGTTAGGCTTTCTGAGAAAAGTTCTGATGGCTAAAAATGTTTCCAAGTACATCCCCTGGAACACTTCAAGTCAATAGTCTTTTATCACACTTACTTAACCATTATATTTGCAAGTCAAAATATAGTGAGAGAACACAGAGTCTTGGGTGGTTTAAAATAACTTGCTTCAGCCAAAATATTTTTTGTTTCTCTATACCCTGAAAGATGTGTACATGCACCTCAGCACCATGAAAAATGTGTATGCGCACTTCAGCATAAGCCTCTCTTTGTGCTTTACAAAAAACAGGAGCTGCTAGCCTAACAGAGCTTCAGCCCTTTGCCTCTGTATCTCTAGTGAGTCTCTGCCTTCTGCGATGCGTCAGCCCAAAACACTGGGTACAATAGAAAGGTAAGGGAGAGAGAGAGAGAGAGAGAGAGAGAGAGAGAGAGAGAGAGAGAGAGAGATTGGCATAGAAATAAACCACTGGAGATTTAGTGAATCAAAATCTAGATTTTTAACAAGATCTTAAGTTACTTCACTCACTCACTCACTCACTCACTCACTCACTCACTCACTCACTCACACACACATGGCTGCCTAGTTAGAACTGACGCTGAGTTGACCTGGCAGCGTGTTTCTGAAAGGAGACTGGCAGTCTTTCTCTGGAGGAGCTGTGGGTCGAATGAACTTCCAGAGGAGGATGGTTTTGCAGTTAGCAGTGCAGCTTCCTATAGACTAGAGAAATTATTATTCTATTCCTTTGACAAATTTTGGAATCGCAGTCTTCCTTTTACTGTCTTTCCACTTTCTCATACCTCGTTCTTCCTTTCTCACAACACCTTCCACTGTGTACTCATGCTTCTTTTCCTTTCAATTACTGCCTGTTTTTCTCCGGTTTTATTCCCACTATTTTTACTGTTTTACTATTCCTCAGTTAGCAAATGTCCTTAGATCATATTTTGAAATTCTGAAGAGTTTAGCTTCTTTAAATGACTACTCTTCATCTCTTGCTGAAACCTTTTCTAATAGTTCACAATTTCCTCTGCTTTGCTTGTCTTTCTCTTTACTATATATTTTTTCCCTTTGGCTATGATATTAATATGACTTAATAAACTCATGATTTAATAAACATTTTGTCAAATGAATTATAAAAAATATAGTTTTACCTTTCATGTGTTCATTTAATTTAATTTTTGCTTTTCTATTTGTAGGTTCGGGTGAACAGACAACATAATTTGGTGGAACACTATCAGAGACAATCTGTTAAAAAGAATATTAAAAAAATGAGTCGCACACAGATTTGCTTTTCACTTCCCTAAGGTTCTTATTTTAAAAGCAATTAGACTTGAAAATAAGAGAAGCATGTCCTGAGAACCTAAACATGAACGTAGAGAAGCCTGCCTAGGCTTTCCAAATCAAGTTGATCTTTTATCTTCATTCACCTCTTAACTCTGGGATCTGAGCAAGAAAGACTAGAGGAAATATGTTCATATAAAAAATTGATTCATGTATTTGAGGCAACAAGGAGCTAACTTCAGAAAGCTAATTGTATTTTGCAGTCTCCATAAAACAAAACAAAACAAAAAACCTTTTTGTAGTGATTCACAAATAACCCAAACTGACTCTCCGTGGATTTTTAGAGGCTGTACATTTCATGGAAGGCAACTGACACTATTTTCTCCCACTTGGCCAGCGGTGGATTTAGCCACCATTGAGTTAAGACTATGCAACCAGAGCTCCTCCCTCAAAAATAAAATATATTTTTAACAATATGAATTTAAATGTAAATGACATTGAAACAGATGAGGGAGAGAACTGTATAAAAGGAACATATAATTAGGTATTACTGGCACGACAAAAGTCCAGAATAAGAGTTGAATAGTAAAGTGGTTGAGGTCAGGGGGAACTGTATCACAAGAAAAGAACTTCTTCCCCAAGAAAAAAGTGAATTGGGGGGAGTGGGGTGGGAGACAGAAAGGAAAATGTACAAATGTACAACAATGAAAACCCAAGTTCTTTATAAACTTTCATTAAAATAAAAAAAGTATTTACAAATATAAGTGTACTTGTTATTGAACAAATAGTGGTTGTTTTTGCTGTGTACCATCAAGTCAGAATAGACTCATAGCTGACCCTCTGGCAGGTTTTCTGAGGCAGTGAATTGCACAGGAGGGGACTGTCCATCTTTCTCCCCGGAGCAGCTGGTGGATTTGAACTGTGTACCTTCAAGACTGCAGCACAGCTTCTTGCCACTAGACCAACAGAGCTCCCTTACTAACACATCTTTAGACTTCAAACAAAATGGTTGTATCACTATGTGGAATCTGACTATATCTAAGGAGGCACCTACTGTTCATAGTATTCGTCATCTTACCATCCAAGACAGTTAATGAAACACCTCAAGACCAAATTCCTTTCAGTGAAAGACTACGTAGTAATATTCTCAAGCTTTTCCCACTCTTTAACTGTTCCTTGCAGATTTACTTGACAATATAATGGAATCTTCAAGTGTTAGATATTGACTTTCCACAGTCCAAGTGGTTTCAAAACAAACTACAGTAGGTTTTATCTGGATCCTATTAGATCTTGTACACATAATAGATTTGGTTATCAATTGATCAGGTAGCACTGGTGGCCTAGTGACAAGAAGCTGCACTGCAATATCAAAGTTAAACTGTTTGAATCCAGCTGCTCTGTAGGAAAAGGTTGGGCAATCTCCTTCTGTGTGATTAACTGTTTCTGACAGCCCGCTGGAGGGTCAGTTATGAGTTGGTGCTGACTCAATGGCACACAACAACATAAATTGATCTAGAATAATGATATAACTTTTAGAGAAACTTAATTCTAGAACCCATATTGGTTCCCTGTTATTCAAAGCCATGGGTTTTTATGCATTATTTAATGACTTCATTAAGTAAATGCTCAAGTTAATAAATCTATAAGTATGCACTAGCAGGTATTTATCACATGGCCAGTTAGTTATAGTAAAAAAAATATAAGGAAATAATTCCTTGTGACCAAATGAATGGCTTGGAAAGTAGAGTCAAAGCATTTTCTTTCGTCTTTTAACATCACTCTATGATTCTATTTTTTTTAAAAAAACATATGGCAGTACCTCAAATTTCCACGATGAATCATCTTTTTCTCCTAATCCTGTTGATAATATATCTATAAAAAGTAATAAGATACATAATAAAAATATCAATTACTGTGAACATGAAATATACTTGCTAATCTTTCTCATTTATATTTCAATAAAGTAAAACTGATACAAACAGTCTTGGGAGTTCAAACAGTCACAGGAAAAAGTTGTTGGTATAGTGGGATACTTACAAAAAGTGTCAACAGATGAAAAATATATAAGTGAAAAATTTTTAGATTAACATTTTCACTCAAGTACTTCAGAGTAGTATTTAAGTATACAAAATTTTCCAATATTCACTAACTTACTGTTTGTAATTTTGTGTGCTTCCCCAACATTAGTTAAATTTTCATTATTTCCTTGCTCTCTTGCAGCATTTGCCAAACTGTCCATTCCATTTCCTCCGTTTATAGTTGCTGATGTTGTTCCTCCTTCCTATAATCAGGGGGGAGGGAGAAGAAAATTAACTTTTGAAAATACTATAATCCTTCACTTACCCACTCATTCAATCAGTCAATATGCAAAATAGAAGACACTGAAATATAAATGAGTCACATTTTTGCCCCATATACCTGTAGGGTTAGAGATACCTAACAACAAATAATTATAGGAAATAATTTACTAATTCTACAAATTATATTAAGTACAGTACAAGCACTAAGGAGTCAACAGTCTGTTCCACTGGAGAAATGCAGAAAGTGTTACAAAGGTGGGACTATATTTTCTTTTAAAGAAATTCTGATCCTAATATTTAATTGTATTTTGTAAAAAAAAATCACACAGATTTTACATCCAATTGGAAACTAAATATGCACAGCAGAAGTAAACTTAAGTTTCAATTAATGGAACTTTAACAAAAGACTAGCCATAGGGATCTATAAAAAAAACCCAAATCACGATAACAGACTATAGAACATAACTGTATCTTTCTCTATTTCAGAAAGCAGAGTTAACAAGCACAAAACACATCCACAAGAATATGAGTAAGACAAAAGTCTGTTTTTCTTTCTATTACATATGGGGTTACTTATATATCTCAAATATGAATAAAATATACATTACAATCTAAATTCAATTGTGACAATAAAATACTTTCCATTTTCCAAGTGGGATGGTAATAAATATTTACATTTTAAAAAATTGTTTTTTTTCATGTTTTGTTTTTAAGAAGACACAACATGCTCAAAGAACATAGAATACAGAACACAAGGGATTGGAGGGACACTATTTCATTCAAGATATCAAATGATAGTATAAAACAATGATTTTACATATCAAATCAGTTCAAGAATGTTATCAAGAATGTCTAAGGTGTTTATTTCATGAAGGATATTTCAGATGTTATTTAAAACACCATGCCTAATCTATCAAGAAGTAACCACGGCTACCTAATTCTGTAGTTTTTAATACCTTCTATATCCACCCCCCATATGAATCTCCTTGACCTCTTCTATTATAGCCCCCTCTTCCACCATAGCCCCTCTTCCACTAACTATCGCCCCCTTTTCCACCATAAACTCCCTTCTCACCATAATCTTCTCTGCCTTTAAAACCCCCTCCTCTGCCTTTGCCTCCTCCTCCTCCTCCACCACTATCTCCTCAATGTCCTCCACCACCCCAGTAACCTCTTCCACCTCCTCCACTACCTCCTTTCCCACATCCTCCACCACCACTCCGACCACCCCTTTCTTGACTCTTTTGATATGAGGCATTTCAGGGGGAGATGGTTCAATTTCATTAGGCCTTCCTCCCTGGTCAGGCACTCGTCTCATCAGCATCTATCTAGCAAACTAAAGCTGTTAACAATCTCAATCTCTTCACCATCTATCATGATGCTGCCAATAGGTCCAGTGGTGAGAATCTTTGTTTTCTTGACATTGAGCCTCAATCCATATTGAAGGCTGCAGTCCTTGACCTTCTGCAGCAAGCACTTCAGGTCCTCCTCAGTTTCAGGAAGTAGGGTTGTGTCATCTGCATAGCACAGATTGTTGATGAATCTTCCTCCAATCCTGATGTCACATTTCTCCTTGTACAGCCCAGCCACCCGGATAATCTGTTCCACATACAGGTTGAAGAGGTATAGAGATAGGACACATCCCTGGCATACAACCTTCCCAATTTTGAACCATGCAGTGTTTCCCTGCTCTGTTTTGATGACTGCCTCCTGATCTAAGGATAGGTTTCTCATTAGAATTATCAAGTGTTCTGGGATTCCCATTCTTCTCAGAGTTAGCCACAGCTTGTTGTGATCCATACAGTCAAACACCTTTGCATAATCAATGAAACATCGACAGACATTCCTCTGGTCTCCCTGGTTTCAGCCAAGATCCATCTAACATCAGCTACAATATCCCTAGTACCACGACCCCTTCTAAACCCAGCCTGCACTTCGGGCAGTTCTCTGTTGATGTGCTGTTCCAGTAGTTTTTGGATAATCTTCATCAGAATCTTGCTTGCATGTCATATCAATGATACTGTTCTATCACCTTTCTTTGGAACAGGAACAAATATAGATCTCTTCCAGGCAGTTGACCAAGTGCTTGTCCTCCAGATTTCTTGGTGAGCACATCTAGGGCAACATCTGTTAGTTAAAATAATGACAGTCGGTATATGTTAAATTCCTGGGGCCTTGTTTTTTGACAATTCTTTCAAAGCAGCTTAAACTTCTTCCTTTATCACCACAGGCTCTTGTTCATATGTTGTGGTACAATGACTCTGTATACTCTTTCTATTGTCTTTTAATGCTTCCCGGATCATTTAATATTCTGCCCAAAGCATCCTTAAGGATTTCAACTCAAGGTTTTAAAAACTACACAAAATTAAATTAAAAGCAAGAATTTAAAATTTACAATATAGTACTTACATTGGAATTGAAATCCAACTCCTTTGAGGTAGGCCATAAATCAAGCCCTGGTTTACCAGAAAGGCTTTAGAGGAAAAATTAGACAACAAAATAAGTGAGCTCACTTCTTTAAAAAAAAGAGGGGAGACATAAAAAGTCCCTACCATACTTTTCCTATTGTTGTTTGAAAACTACTGATTTACTTACAAAGTTTGTATACATTAATTTTTACACAAAATCTTTCCCCTTTCCTTTACACACCCAACTCCCCAGATATCAAATTGTTTGCCACCCGCCCCCCCCCACCCCTACCCCGGGATTAAGTCCTCCCACCTCCACCCTCTGCTCTCTCCTCTCTGCCATGGATCCTCATACTTGTTCTACAGTAATGGTCTTATACAATATTTGTCTTTATGAGACTGAGTTAATTCACTTAGCATAATGCTGTACAGTCCCTCCCAAGTTAACTAGTAATTTACAAAATCATTGCTCCTGTGTCCTGCATAGTATTCCATCACGTGAATGTACCATAATTTCTTAATCCATGTCATTGTGATTTGGCTGTTTTCATGTTCTTGCTATGGTGAATAATGCTGCTATGAACACTGGTATACAAAAGTCTCTGTTTGTGCCTCAGTTCTCACTTTCTCAGGGTATATTCCAAGTAGTGGATCATATGGAATTTCTATGTTCAGGTTTTGTTGTTTTTTTTAAAAATTTAGGTTGTTTATTTTTCATTTCAATGAACATCTACAGAGATTTTGGAATTTCATTAATTCATTGTTGCACCCTTCTCCCCG